ATCTTTACACGTAAGTCCAAAAATCTCACCATATACAAGGTTGGGAGTTTCATTCCCCAATATTACCAGAAAATGGAGAGGTAAAATAATAGGCAGGAAAAAAATCAGGACTTATTTAATGTATTGATGTTCCTGTAAAAAGCAACAGCTGACTGTCAGACAAAATGAACAATCAGGAAATAAAATGCCTGCTTTGTGTGGTGGCACAGGCCTAAAATCCAAGCACCCCAGAGACCTGGGCAGGAGGGACACCCGAATTCAAGCTCCAAAGTGAGTTCAGGTGTAGCTCCTGAACTGCAAAACAAAATACCATGTGGGGTTGGGATGGTGACTCAATCCTGTGGTTTGAGGCTGAAGCAGGAGGATCTTTGAGTGTTGGAGACCACCTAGGCTACAAAGTGAGCTCAAGGCCAGCCTGAACTGCACAGCAAGGCCCTGTCCAAAAAGAAAAAAACAAAACAATTGGTAATAGGGCTGGAGTTACAGTTTAGTGGTCTATTGCTTGCCTGATATGTGCAAGGCCCTAGGTTCAATCCACAGTACTGGGAAGGAAAAAAGGAATGAAAGAACAAAAGGAAAAGAAAGAAAGGGCTATGATTTGATTGATTGTAGGCCCCTCCAAACCCTGGCAGGAAGAATGGTTTAATAAGTCAAAGTGAGCCTGGTGTGGTGGCACATACCTCTGATCTAAGCACTCAGGAGGCTGAGACAGGCGGATTGCTGTGAGTTTGAGGCTAGCCTGGGCTACATTATTAGCTTAAGACCAGCATGAACTTCATGAGACCCTGTCTCAAAAAACCCCCCTAAAAAATCTAGGTGTGTATCAAGTTATTAGAGAGGTGTGTAAAATAGTAGTTCACCAAGCAGTTTTTGACATTTGGTCTTCTAAGAAGTTAGTTTTCTTGCAAGAAAGAATGTTGTTTGAGGGGCCGGGGAGATGACTCAGTGGATTAAGCACTTCCCTGGCAAGCGCAAGGGGCTGAGTTCAATCCCTGGTTCCACACACACACACAAAAAAAAAAGGATGTTGTTTGGTACTCACTTCGGCAGCACATATACTAAAATTGGAATGATACAGAGAAGATTAGCATGGCCCCTGTACAAGGATGACACGCGACAGCCTTGGCCTGGTGCCCTCTGGAATTAGCAATACTATCCCTGCAAGTCTGCAAAACGCCCATATCACCTTCCTCAAAATGAGGGACATGAGCTTCTGGAATACAGGAAAGCCAATGCAACAAGCTTCTCCATGAGGCTGAACAGTGCACCATCTTCCCCTCTGAAGCCAGGAAGTGATACTCAAGATGAGGTACAAAGCTTCTCCAAAGTTCATCAGGAAAGGCATCATGACAAGGTTCTCCAGCAGAACAGCCCAAGAGAACTAGCAGCTTCCAACAGCTTTTCCAAACAGTATCCCTAACAGCCTTTAGGGTATCCCTAACAGCCTCTCCTCTTCTGCCCTTGTGCTGCTGGAAGCAACCCTCAGGTGGACCTCCTGCACCTAGCACCATGATAGTTTAATTCAGCTTAGTTTAAGCCATGCTGGGTTTAATATGTTGACCACCAGTTAGAAATCCACGACAGCTGGCTGAACAATGGCTATCTAGAGATGTGCAAAACCTAATTTCCAGAATTTAGAATATGTGCCTTCATATGACAAAAGGTACTCTAGGAGACAGAGGCCTAAGAACCACAGATTCAAGCTTGCCCTGGGCAATTTATCAAGATTCTATGTATCAAAAAATTATAATGATAGGGGGGCTGGTGAGATGGCTCAGTGGTCTAGAGCATCTACTTGGAACAAGCTTGGCAAAGCACAGGGACCGCAGTTCAATCCCCAGCACCACATGCCAGCCAGCCCCGCCCCCCTGGTGGGCTGAGCTGGCCACACACACACACATAAATAAATAAAATT